ACAAGTGTGGCTAACATCAATGCCCTAACTGTGCATCTCAGTGATAAGTGGAAAGTAAAGCTGATGGAAGACAATCAGGCCACGATCACTATCCTGCAGCAAGGACATTCACAGAAACTAAGGCACACGGATAGGACCCAACGCATTAGTTTTAGATGGCTTCAGGAGCAGTTCGTAAATCGGCAATTCGAACTAATCAACGTTGACACTACCCTTCAAGCTGCAGACATCTTGACAAAGGCGTTTGACAGTACCCCGGTGTGGCACCACGCTCTCGAGCTGATCGGAATCTCCCCCAGTCGCCAGGCGCGAGCCTGCGCCACCAGTTTGCTGTACTCTCCAAATGCCAAGGCCAGAGATGTCAGCGATCAGGGGGAGCAGATCGCCGCGTTATGCAACGTTCAGCCCAAGCGTCTCCTTATTGAATTCTGTTGTTCGACGACCTCACGGTTGGGCGAATCAAGAGACCCTTCAAAAGGTTGTCGTGTCATCCGGGTCACCGAAAAGGAGGATGGGTGCTCCGTAGAGTGTAGGCAATGGTTAAGCCGGGAAATTGCCGAGTTTAGAAGCAAGAATCCCAAAGGTGCCATAATGTTTTATGTGTCACTGCCATGCACTGGAGGCTGCCCATGGGGTTATGTCAACCAGCAAACTCCCAATGGTGCCGCCAAGATCGAGGGCCATGTCAAACAGTTTCGATCACTGCTCAGAGGGTTCAAACGCATCCTCAATGACGTTCACTCTAATGACGTTAGTGTTGCCTTTGAACTCCCTAAAGCGTGTCGCTACTGGAAATGGCCTGAACTATGGAGTTTCTTGACCAAGTACAAGATGCACAAATATGAATTCCATGGTTGTAAAATCGGTATCAAAGGGAGAAATGGAAAACCAATGAAGAAGCAATGGGTCGTTGCCAGTAATATGCCCACTATTTCCGTTGTTGAGTACTTCAAATGTGACGGTTCACACGAGCATGATGAAAGCCGTGGTGCCCACTTGAAGGAAGCTGAGGGTTACACGTATGTTTACACCGATGCCGTTCATAATGCATTCTCCGAGCATGCCACCACGCAGCCGTTGCTTTCGAGTGATTGTGCTGCTTCGTTTTCGCAATGAGCAGCCAAACGGCCATGGCGCATCCCGCGAGGGCTTGCGATCCAGCATGGAGGCGGTGGATGGAGAATATCGCTACCACATCGGTATGCACCAACGGCAGGTACGACGCGAACCTCGCAGCAACAGTCAAGGGGCTTTTGGAGACGACCTCTGCGCAATCCCTTATTCATACATGGATACAGGACCAACCGCACTATTTGCAGCTGCTGACGCCATTATTGACAATCAGTGAGCCTTATTTGAAGGTGGTGCAAGCACCTCGCGTGCCCGACCGAGACCTCCTCATTTACCTGACGGTTGCAGATTCTGGACTGTCTATGGTATCCGGCAAGAAGAAGAAGCTCCGCAAATATGATTTTTCGGAACGCTTGGATTCTTCTCGCCCGGCGCGTGTCGGTGCATGGAAATCCGAGATGCTATGGGGAAAGGGGCTGCAACAGCTTTGCAAACGCATGGCCGCGCTCATCGACGAGGTGCGTACGGACTACCCGACGGCAACGATCATTCCTATGATCTATTGGAATGGCAACGAGCTCGTTGGGAAGTACGGCCTCGAGCCCACCGGCGCTTTCCCATACGACCAGCCGGAAGGCATCGCCGAAGAGATGATGGCGGACACGAAGAGGCATTTGTCCTGGACAAGGGACTTCGCGGCCCGCAAGGGCTGCGCATGCCTCGGCATCATGACCGGTGCCAAAAGCTATCACTACGGGTTTTCAATGATTTGGGATCGCTACATGGCTGAGGTGCGTAACTTCATAGTTGAAGATCCCAATGAGTTGCTCGTGTATGTCGACGCTTCGCCTTTCGTCGAGACCATTGACCTGCTCGACAGGTATCATATGTGTTTCAGCGACGACAACGTCATCAAGACCGTCCAGTTCATGCGCGGGACCCACCACATGTTGTACATGCTTTCCATCTTGCGCCCAGCGATGGGCAGCGTGGCAGAGCTTATTCGATCGCACGGCGCAAGCCAGCGCCGGATCGACGCTCTTGAGCTGCGACATCAAGAAGATTGCACTTTCAATGTGGAGGTTCTCGCGTACTGCAAGGAGACGCTTACCAAATGCGGCATCTCCTTGTCGGAAATGATTGGACTCCCTTTCACCAGAGAGGAAGTGGAGACGCGGCAACCCCTCGACTTTGCCCATGTGGACCCAGCTGAATTTGCAACTTCGGGTGAGCCTTCCGATGCTATTGCTTCCGAAAGTGTTCGCCCGGCGCAAGCTGGTGCAAAGGCAGCTGCAGTGGCAAAGAAGAGTGAGGATGTGACCAGGCCGGTAACGCTCGATGCCTACGGGCGGAACGAGACCGGCGGTCACTACGATTGCTGGGTGTATAGCACCCGGGATGGCGTGAAGTACGTTGATTTCGGCGAAGGCCCCAAGAGGCTCAGCGTCATCAAGCAGCCAGCATTCCAGTATGATCCTTCGGTGCGGAAGATCGACGATCAGTATCATCGTTCTCTGACTTGCATTTCGAAAATTCTCAGAGGACGCGGCACAGAAGGAGCTGGATACCTCATGGACGAGGAGGGCTTCATGGATCTGGAGGACCTGGGATTCGCGCTCCGCAAGGAGCTGCGACATCCCATCCCTTGGAATATGCAAAACGTCATGGACATCTTCAAGCTCGACCGAAAACAGCGATTTATCGGTCTTGGCTGCCCGGACGCAAGCCGGTGCGGAGATGTGCCATGCTCGCATTGGATCTTCAAGATCAAAGCCTCCCAGGGCCACGAAGATTGGCTGCAAATTGATGATGCTGGCATTGCAAAGGAGTGGTTCGTGAACCCAGGCACAGATCTCAGCAGATGGTCCGGGTGGTGCGTCAACGACTGCCCGCCGACTGTTCTCTATCATCGCACCGACAAACGGAACTATGCCAACATCATGCGCAATGGGCTTCTTCCGGGTGGCGGTGACCAACACGAGACTGGCCGACCTCACGTATTTTTCTCTGACGTACCGAGTACAAGTGAGCATTATGTGTCAGGTGTGCGAGCTGACAGACCTTTGGAAATCCAGGTTGACCTCCGTATGGCCATTCGCGCGGGCCTTTGCTTTTTCAAGACGGAAAGCGATGGCATCCTTACACGTGATCGAGTACCGAATTACACAATCATCTCCGTGCTCGATGCGTCGAATGGCGACGTATGGTACACTCGCTCCGAGCAATCGGATGCAGGTGCACCAGCTGAAGTGGTTGACGAGGAACCTCAGGGAATGAAGCGCGCACAAGCTGTGGCTGATGATCGCTCGGCTGCATTGGAACGGATTGCCACAACACGCACAAATGTTGCCTCCCCTCGCGCCCCGCAAGGGGAAGCGAAGAGGCAAAAGACATTCAACCCCATGGAGAACGTTGAGTTGAATGTCACTGCGTGCCCTGTCTGCAACAACGGCATATTCGAAGGGCAGGTACATTGCACCACATGCGGGCAATTGTCCCCCCTTCATCCGCGCTTGTTGAAAGAGCAGCAGAGGAATTATATCATGCACCGTTCCAACTTGCTGAGGAAGATGGGTCTCAGTACCCACATCACAGCCCAGGTCCTTGCATCCGTGGGAACATCCGACCTCCGCGAGGAGGATCGCATCAGCATCATTCGTGGCTTGAACTCTCCGGACAGCGCTGTGCTTCAGGAAGCACGGAAAAAGCTCAAGTCCGCCCTGAAGAACGGCTACCACTCCCTCTTGGATCGCTATGAACTTGATCTTCAATACAGGGTTCGTATGATTGAGGTTGGCCGCAGGGAAGCAGATATGCTCCGCATGGAGCTCTGCGCAAATCTGGTTTTGGCTGCACCCAAGCAGTCGCAGGCCCAGCGCACTCTGGGCGTTGGCCTTGGGTCAACGTCGGAGTCGCGAATCGCAAGGCTCGCGTATATCAAAACAGATTTGGAGTTCTTGCCAAACGAGCTGCAAGAGGCTTTGTCCTCGCGCTGGATCGTGATGTTCCAAGGGATGCCCTACAGCCCCAGAGCGTTTGTCAACATCGTGATGGAGCAAGACAAGCCACGCAGCATCGGATGCTGGAATGGCATTATGCACTTGCACGGCAACACGATCGACAACCTCCGCAGCGAGATGGACTGGATTTTTAGCCAGAATGAACGGCCGGCAATCAATTCGATCGAATTTTCGAAGAACGAAAGCAGCAAACACCATGCACGCAATGCCGCCCGATATGCCGCACAAAGTGCTCCCGCCGCCCGCGAGGGTGAGCAGTGGGGCAGCGGCAGCTGGCAAGACTGGTCCGAATGGAGCGGATGGGGAGACAGCAGCGGAAGCTACTCCTCGTGGCGGTGGCGTTACAAACGCATCCGTCACGGATTTGCATGAATGCTACGGTTCCCCTTGACCTTCTCCCTCTGTTGTGTTTCTGTTTGGCTGCTTTGTGAAAGGCCCCTTTAACACGCCGAGGGGGGTGAAGAATTTGATCGGTCAATATGGGGTTTTACATCCGTTGCATCCGCAGTGTGGCTGTTCAAGCGTGAAAATGTGCGAGCAGCGCACTTGGACGGTTTGTTGTTTCCTTTTGGGCCCCAAACCTGTTACCCCTGAATCTATATAAGGGACCCTGCCTAACTACCTTGGATTTCTGGGCTTTGAAGGGTCAACTGAGATGATAGTGGTAGACTAGCTCACTTCCCGAGCTCATGGACTTGAAACTGTTTGGGAAGACCTACAACAATATTCTAAATTGATATACAATTATTAAACATATTATGAAATATGCTCAACATGTCTATTTTATATATTTAATGAAAGTATATAAACACTTCACTATTAATATAATTTAATATATTAATATATTCAAAACTAGTTAGACTTGAAATTGACCAATCCGCTCAGGAAGTGAGCCAATCCCTAGCCCAGGCAGCTGGACAGCTTTGGACATCGCCAAAGCGGGCGCGCCTCGGATCGTGTTCCGGCGTCGAGTTACAATTTCCTGAGAGGGGGTCTGACCAATGGCTGGCCAAAGATTGAGGGGATTCCTTGAAGGAATGGCTGACAGATGGTTCCGCTTCGAGGTCAACTTCTACTCCCCTGAGAAGGTCATCCTGCGTAGTTTGTGCGGGAATTGAACTCCTTAGCTCCCCATTTGGTAAGGATTTTGATCGGCTCCTGGGCCCCCGGAATGTAGAGCGAGTTGGTGATGTCGTGTTTAGTTGTGTTTTTTGTTTGGTGGGTGGGGCGGGTCAGTCTTTTTTGAGGGATCCCTGTGGAGAACATAGCTTTGGGGTTCCCATTTAGAGACCATAGTCAAGGCCCGAATAGTCTAGGCAAACCCCTATGTCTTTTTTTTGGAGGGGGTTGACTTCTAGGCAATGGAGTTTAGAAGACCATGAGCGCCTGTGAGCAACTTGCAGTGGGCGGGAATGGCAGAGAGAAGAAGCCCTTTGCCCGCTCGGGGGAACCTGCTCGGGGTCTGGTTCGGTCAAAGGTTTGGTCACACCTTTTTGATTGTGTGTGTGTGTGTGGTGATTTTGGCGCTTCGTGATGTTGGGGCTCAGATCTCGTTCCACAAACGCCAGCGGGACTCTGGAGCATATTTTCCCCTGCTTCTTCTGCTGAAGTCATGTTTTGTCAAGCCCCGAAGCCGGCTCCAAGTCTTCAAGTCGGTCCGTGACGCGACCTGAGACAAGGCCAAGGTGTCACTTTTCTTGAGCTCGGACTCCTGATGAACGGACGGCCACAAATTAAAACGAGCCTGGGCAAAACCAGATCAGGGGCCTTGACTACATGGCTAGTTTTGTGACCAAATCGCCGCTGGGATCTGTTGGACACAAATGCTCGTTCCAAAAAATATGCAACAGGTCGAACGACCCTTGCTTGGAGCAACCCAAAAACTTGGATGGTTATTTGGGGGACAAGCCACTCATAAGTTCCCGTTCAGTGGAGTTAACCCTTTAAAAGTAAGTAACCAGTTGCCAACTTCTTCACTGTTGGATCAAGTGTTTCAATGTTTAGTTGGTTTGCTGGTTCGGGTCAGTTTTAGGTTTGGGGGAGGGCAACCATAAACGGCACGCTTTCCTTACCATATCGCTTGGGTTGGAGTATCGTTTGGGTTGGAAGGGCAACAAGCATCCAAGTAGGGTACCTTCTCCCCCCGCTCGAGCTGAGGACACCTTGCCCTGTGAGAGGGACCCGGAGAAGTACAAGCAACCGAGGCCGCGCGTGCATGGAGCTTGTCTCTCACCTTCCGATTTTGACACAGGCGCCATTTGCAGGCAAACCTTCCATTGGCTGAAATGAACATGTTATATTTTCCCCTATTGGTGTTAAAGGGAATCGAGTTCACTTACTGGACAATTTTTCATTTTTTCCAGAGGGCTTAAGCAAATGGAAGCCACCCCAAGGAAAAGAAGAGGAATCGGAGCCTCTTACTGGGCCCACGACTTTACCACCAAAGTCACCTAAGTGATAGGTAAAAGGAAAACTTTCCCGGTTGTCTTACCCCACAAGGTGATTCGGATTCTAATATAGGAACCTTTCGTAGAGGGGGGCCTTGAGTTTGCTTCCTCAACCATTTCCTTCCGCGGGTGTTGAGTAATCCATAATCTTGTTCCTCTGACCCGGCAGGAAACCATCAGGGGATTCCTGCACCAGGCCCCCCATGGATGAGGGTTTTGTGTGCTAGGTCTACTTTCTTTCTGCTTGGTTGGTTGGTTTCCGATTTTTGTTGCGGGTGCTTTCTTGTTGAGCTGCCTTGAAGGAATCTCAAACACAAAAATAAGGTCTCCTGAGACAGGAATCGAGTCAAAATCCATGTGTTTGGCGAATGTTTGGCTAGTTTCCTGGTTGAAATCCCTGTAATGTGACTCCTGGTTTCTCAACCCATCCTGTTGATAGGGGTGTTCCGTGGTGAACCCTCACTAAAAGGGGACACGCTTTGATCAGAATCAACCAGGGGTTTAGTCAGTATTTTGACAGTTTCTGGGAGGTATCAAAGTCAGTGACTGGGAAAGTTTCCCTTAGCCCATCACGTAAAGTCAAAGTAGGTGACTTTGATACTTGCAAAACAGTGGGCCAGGCGGCCAGTGTTTCTCCTGATTTCTCCTAGGTACCCATTACCCTCAGGAAAATGGCCCAAACGGAGCAAAGTGCGCAGGCGGACAGCTGGTTTTTTCAGCCACTCGCGTCCTCCCATGTCCGTCGCAGGCACCCAAAGATCGCGGAGCTTCTGGTGGCGGCGCGGGGGAGACCGGGCTCCAAGCTGAAGCCGCCGCCGCGGATGAACACCTTCGGCACCTGGGCGCCAGCCTCCTTCCCACGGAAGTTCGGGCGATTCGGTTCCCAGGTGAACCGTCGGGTTCCTGAAGGTTTTGAGGTGGTTTAGTGGTGGGGTCCCCGTTGAGCCCACAAAAGGTTAAACTCTTAGCAGGGGATCGGATAGTAGGGGATTTGAGGACAGGCCACGCATGTTGACCCCGGATTCAGCAGACCCCCTAGTTAATGATTAAGGAAGGGGCCCCTTTTGGTGGGGATTTATTGCTTGTGGAGGGATCCCCCTGGTTTCAACAGGAATCGACATCATTACTGGACATGTCTTGAAAAGGCAAATGGAAAATGGAGGCCCCCTTCCCGCCTAACACGGCACCGTATCACGGGGCTCGTGTAAGAGAAGATCCATCTTCCAGGTACCTCCCACAAGTGCTACTGCGGATGGCTGTGAAATCCGTTCCGCACCTCTTGGAAGCCTGGTTGAAGCCATTCTTTGCCGGTATTTCCAGGGGATCGCATCATTCCAGGGTTTCTTAGGTGGGGTGCAGGATTTCGCCCATCCACAGTATTTTAGTAGGGGAGCAGACGAGGGGGTTAGCTATGTTACCACGCAACACCGAGCAAACAGACAACGAGTCTGGTTGCTAAACAACCCAGATTGCATCAGTTGTCCCAGTTGTGTGATGTGTTTTGTTTTCCCAAACTATTTATATTTACCACCCGGACTCTAAGTACCCGCATCTGACAAACACAGTTTGTTGGCCACGCACCAGGTTGTTTCCAAATACATGCTAAGAAACGTCCACTTCCTGAGTTTCTGAGTTTCTGGACTTTAACATTCTGGGAAGACAATTTTAGCCGAAGCGCACAGTTCAGACTTTTTAGGCCAATCCACCCACGAAGTGAGAAACGACCTTCATGCGAAACAACCATCAACACCAAACAAAAAACACCAAAGCTGAGTAGCTTTCTCCTTGCCCCCGAAGGCCTTCATGTCGGCCAGGTCCACCTGCAGCTGGTTCATGGGCTCCAGAGGCACGAAGCTGTTGTAGCTTCTGGAAGGGTTCAAGAAAGGTCCGGGGCTTGGGTTTTCCGGGGCTTTCCTTGTGCAGGGAAGGTTTAGTTGGTGGCTTGCGGTGTTGTTCGGGATTTGAACCCCCTGCTTCCTGAGGGCAACTGGGACATCCAAACCAATCACCGGGATCCCAACCAACGGTTGCAGGGAAGACCATACCCAAATTCCAGCCCAGGCAATCCGGCGGAGGAGGGGGAGAGGAGGAATCCCTGCCTCGACGAGCTGCTTGCGCGGGATTTGTTTGGGTTTGACTCATGCTGTGGATGGCTGTGAAATCCATTTCGCACCACTTGGAAACCATGGGAAAATCATAAGGTTTGTTGGTATTTACAGGGGAATCGAATCATTCCAAGGTTGCAACCATTGTTTGCTGGCATTTACAGGAGAATCGAATCATTCCAGGGTTTCTTGGGTGGTGCTGGAGCGCGTCCATCCACAGCATCACGCGCGCGCGCAACACTTTAGGATATTCTTCGCAGAACCCGAACAGCCCGTGGGTTTCGTGCGCTGCCTATATTTTGGGAAGCACTCATGTTCGCTTGGATTCACGACTTAAACCTTCTTTGCAAGGGGGTTGGGAAGAATTGCATATTCCCTGAATATCAAGTCAAAAAACCTGCAATTAACCTTCCTGGTGTTTTGTGGTGGGGCTTCTTTGCTTCGCTTGCAGAATCAGGAAGTCCAGCGGATGGGTTCCCCATCCAGGGTAATATGGTGTGCGATTGGTTGAGGAGCAACATTTGGGTGGGTGCACGTATCACTGTACTTGTTTTGTTTCCCTCTTTTCTTCCTTTCTTCCGTCCTTCCTTCCTGCCTTCTTTGTTTATTTATGTTTGTCTTTCTGTCTTGTTCCGTCTCTTTGTGTCTTTGTGTCTTTCTTTATTTTTGTCTTGCTTTCTTTCTTCCTTTCATTTTATCTTTCTTTCTTTCTGCCTGCCTGCCTGCCTGCCTGCCTGTCTGTCTGTCTGTCTGTCTGACCTTCTTTCTTGATGTTTTTCTTTACTCCTCCTGTTCTTTCTCTTTTATTTGTTCCTTTATTTTTTGTTTGTTTCTTCCTTTCTTCCTTCCTTCCTTTCTTCCTTGCTTCCTTCCTTCCTTCCTTCCGGTCTTTTTGTCTTTCTGTCTTTCTGTCTTTCCGTCTTTCCTGCTCTTCTGTCTTTAGTTCTTCCTTGTTTCCTTTCTTCCTTTCTTCCTTGCTTCCTTCCCGTCTTTCTTTCTATTCGTTGTTCTGCTTTTCGTCTGTCTTCCTTCAGTGCTTCCTTCCTTGGGTGCTTCCTTTCTTCCTTTCTTCCTTTCTTTCTTGTTTCCTTCCCGTGTTTCTGTCTTTCAGTTTTTATGCATGTCTTCTGTCTTACTTCCTTGCTTCCTTGCTTCCTTGCTTCCTTGCTTCCTTGCTTCCTTGCTTCCTTTCTTCCTTCCTTTCTTTCTTTCTTTCTTTCTTTCCTTCTTTATTTCTTTCTTTCATTCTTTCTTTCTCATTTTGAGATCCCTATTTGCCGGGGTATCAGGAAACGAAAGGAACATCGACCTTTCTTCAGATTCGTCCATTCAGTTCGAAGTCCACTAGTCGTAAACCCCCTTTGAACAGGGTAGTCCTTCCTCGGATGCTCTATTGGAAACCGGCATTCTCTACCTAGGTGCAGGAAACTTCATTCATATGGCCATATCCCGTACCCCCAGTGAACATCCTAATCCCCACTAAAATAGACTAAAATGGGTGGTGCATCTACCCCAAATTGGTACCATTGGTTTTGACCCACAGCCATATTTCCAAGCGACATCTTATTTATAGCCATATATATATATATGTTCATATATTCATACTGTGGATGGTTGCGAAACCCGCTTCTCGCACCACTTGGAAGCCATGGTTGAAGCCATTTCATTGTAGGTATTTACAAAGGAATCGAATCATTCCACCGTTTCTCAGGTGGTGCGAAATGGATTTCGTCCATCCTCAGAATTTCCAATTCACATCTTTGAGGCCAGCTTCCCGGTTGCCCAAAGGACCCAAAGATTAAAGGTTAACCTTTTGGGGCCATGACTAAAACCATGCGCAAAAAGGGGAACCGAGAGATCAAAGGGTCGATTCGCGTTGGGTAAGTGAGGTTTGGCATGCCGGTGCAGGAAACCTCCTTTAGAGGTCAACGGGGCCACAGAAATCCGGGCGAGGCAGGGCTTCCCCCTGCGCCCCCGGCACCTCTACACGGAAGAGGACGACGAGCAACTGAAAACGCTGGGGGCGCCCAAGTTCAGCAACCACCGAGGCGCGTCGGGAACCTGCCGAGGCAAGAGGTCGTTGTTTCGGAGAAACGCCGGGGAACTATATCTATGTGTATATAAATTCATATATATATATATACACGTCGACGTATTTATGCATACTGTGGATGGACGCGAAATCCATTTCGCATCACTTGGAAACCACGGGGTTGCCATTGCTTGTTGGCATTTACGGCGGAATCACATCATAGGGTTAGGTGGTGCGAAATGGATTTCGTCCATCCACAGTATGACATATTTTCGCGGGGCACGTACTCAGGGCGCACCTACCTGTTCCCCAAACTTAGGGGAGGTTACCATGTGCCGTTTGCCCCGGGGAAGATGCGGGGGAGGGGGGGGGGCGGGGAGCGAACATGGTGCTTCCAAAAATCGGCGACCCCTAAGAACTGGGCAGGTGTCCTTTTTTGATTTTCGGTTTAAAACTATGCAAAGGGGATGTTCCATTTTCGCACAGGCTCGATAGAAAGATGGACCAGAACGATCCCAAAGAACCATCATTCCTGGAGCATCCTTGGGCTCGCCTTCCTTTGCAGGCGGTGGCTGCCCCATGACAAGCATCGGCATGCTGGCAACGAAGACCAGTGCTGGCGAGTCCCGAGTGTGCCCCGGTTCTTTATGGCCCCCATTTTTTTTGTTTTGCCCTGTTGGTCAGTTGGGTTCCTCACTTACCCAGTTGCCCAGTGGGTTGCTTCCGTGTTTCCTTTTTCTCGGGAAGGGTTCCCCTTTAAAGTCAACCAACCAACAAAAAAGATGCCCTTTTCTTCCCACGGCTGCTGGGCATGGCGTTTTTATTCTACCCTTCTCCGCGCAGCGGATTCCAGCCATGGCCCATGCGTGGCGGGGTCCCCACTAAAATTGCCTCTGCTTCCATTTGCTTAAGAATATGTTGTATTTTCCCCTTTTGGTTTAAAGGGGATCTTTCACTACTGGAAGTATTTTTCATTTTTCCCGGGGGCTTATGCAAACGGAGGTCTGGCCCTCTCAAAACCGCACCCCATGCCCTACCAGGGGCATTGGGCAACTGAGGTACACCGGGCTGACCCCGGCGTGACTCGTGACGCCGAGTCTCTGCCCGGTCGCTCGAATCTGAAAAAGAGACGGCTGCGACGAGTGACTGGTCGCTCGCTCTTGTTCTCGCGTGGGAGTTGAGGGCAAGCCTCCACCGGGTTGACCCCTTGCGTTCTCCCAGGTCAATCGCTCAAGGCATCAAGGCAGCCGACGAGCCCACCCAGGTAGATCGAGATAGAACATATGTATACACCCATGCTGAGCGCCCTGTTTCTCACTTCCTGAGTTCATGAACTTTACACTTTTTAGGAAGACCATTTTAGTGGTAAATATAAAGTTTGAACTTTTGTGGGGCCATCCACTCAGCAAGTGAGGTTTTTGGGCTTGGTTTTGGTCAGGTTTTGCAAAATTTAGTCTTGTGCAAATCTCTCAGCCTGGGGCAGCGCATCGCTTTCCATTTGGCTCGGACTCGTCTGGAGTCCGACGGCAAGAGGTGTGTCAAATACCGGCAGGAGCAAGATGAGGAGTTTTCTTAACTGGGTTGTGTTTGTGTCCCATTTAAATCACATTTGAGACATCCCCTGGTTGTCCGCTGGTTTTTCTTCGAGATCTTTGAGGACATTACTTGGATGTGCGCTGCCAAGTTAGTAAGTGGTCACCCACCTGAGCGCTCGCCTGAGTTATGCCCCCCAACAGCGTGGTTAACTCCTCTGAACGGGGGACTTATAAGTGGGTTCTCACCTAAGGTAACAACTAACTTGGCAACGAAATCCCAAGTAGCGACTATTAGTGACAACTTGCCCCAGTGGATCCATGTACCCGCACAGTCGCCACGGGAAGCACCCCTTACAAACCAAAAGCAAACTGGCTGGTTGCCTACTATTCTAGGGGTTGTTTTCAACAATCGTTCTTTTCAAAATCCGACTGCTTCCCCTGGGTTTTTCCATGGTTTCCTGAAAAGAAGGATCCTTGGAAAGAATGGAACAGGAAAGTAGCCCTAGAATTACCTCCATTTGCTTTTTCGAATGTTTGTTTGTTTTCCCTTGGTTTTAAAAGGAATTAATTCACGAGAACTAGAACTACGATAAACCCCGGATTGATAAACCCCTGTTTGATTTTGATCGGGGCGTGTCCCCTTTTAGTGGGGATTGTGACCACTTTTGGAGGGAACCCCTAAGAAAGGGACGGGTTTCTCATACGTGGATGGACGAAGTCCATTTCACACCACTTGGAAACCATGGTTGAAACCAGAACGTTTCGCACCAAAACAACTTGGAAACCACTTGAAACCATCCACGAGAACTAGAACTATGAGACCTCGCCTGCTTTGGCTTGCCACTGGGATCCACTGGAAGCAACGGGGCGCAGGAGAAAATCATGATGAAGCTGATCTGCGTGAGCGAGGGCGTGGATCAAGCCGGAAAGGCGGGACCAACAAGAACCCCCGCGGGTCGGTTCGGTTCATACACCCTGGGGTCCCTTCCATGTGCTTAAGAATATCTGCTATTGCACTACTGGATTTGTTTTTAATGCTTTACTGGGGACTTAAGCAAATGGAGGTTCCTGAAGCCCGACTGGTTGAGAGAAAAGCGAACTCGTGAACCCCTGCCTTTAAAGTGAGGTCATCACTCATTATGTTAGCGGCAGTGCCTTTGTCAGCTGCTGGTGGCTAGTGCGGTGGATGCCCTAAACGTTGCAAGTAAGCCAACCACTCTCAGCCACAAAACTGTGGAACATGGCTTGTTTGCCAGTTGGTTGGATTCTTAGCCCTTGTTCTGTTGGGAGCATGACATGTGGATTCTCACCCACCCAAAGAAAGATCACAGTGCCGCCTTTGGGCGTTGCGGGCATCCGCTGAGATTCGGGGGAAGTCGGGAATTCGGGTGGGGTGGAATGGGGGGTGGGGTGGGGTGGGGCCTTTGTTGCCATTGCTTGCGATATTTAGGGCATCCACTGTATCAACTTTCTCCGCACGCGTTTGATGGGACTCTGTAGGCCAGACTTGTTGAGTTCACGGAAGTTCCATGGCATTTATCTACTCGAGGGTGTCCAGGCGGCAATGGAACTTAGCAGGTGCGTCGTGTCAAGAATCCACAGTCAAGACATCCCGTAAACACAAGTGGGTGCTCTCCCCGAAAAGGGTTCGGCTATGTGACAGCCACCCAGGTCGCGCTTGCAAAGGATGCCAAGCATGTGTTGGAGGTTGTGGACTTGTCAGCGACTTGACCATGGACTTGTGCTGCTAGCAGGTATGTATGTGGCCAGCGTTTCCTCGTTCGGCTTCGGGGGCATGCAGAGAGAAACCAAACGGACCGCCACAGTCGTTGGTTGCCCCCGCCCCAGAACCCCCCCCCGGCCCTCCCCCGTTTTGACGCATGCCCATGTGATGTTAGAAGCTCCGCATACGTCAGGGTTAAAACCATCCAGTATGAGAGTACTAAGAGGGGTGCTCGGAGACCTCGGGTCCATGCCTGCGTCGTGCGCATGGGCTGCTTGCTTGGCCTTTTGGTGCTTCATGTTTTGCCCACAGGTTTTGACTTTTTATCTTGCGATCGGTGCGAGCGGGAATGAGAAATGGAATGAACGTGGGGATTCCCTTACAAAGGAAACCACCAGTTGGATGTTTTTTTCTCGGGGTCATTCCTTTTCTCATTCCCTGCCTATCGCATCCTATCGCCACCATGAAATTATTTACGTCTCTCGGTTCGATCCGGCGAGACGTATTTGGCTGCTTGCTTTCGACATGCCTTCCGAACTCCAGATGCAAACTCTTCCATTTCCATTTCCTTGAGAAAGTGTGGTGCTTTCCCCATGGTTTCAAAGCGAACCGACCACCTCACACAATTTTTGATCCCCCTCTTTTCTACTCAGAGGCTCCTGGGGCTTTCAATGGAAGACCAGACCCTTCCATTAGACACCCCGGTGTTTGGGGGTCTCAAAACCTTGCTGTTTGAGGGCCCTAAATACATTGGGAGCGTCTGGGTAGCAAACTAGGTCCCCCAGTAGTGCCCTTTTACCCTTTTTTGGGGGAGGGTTCCCCTACTAAAACAGACTACCGAAAAAAGGGTACCCTTATTCCAACCTCCAAAAACTGGAGGACCTAGTAGAGGAACAACCCAAAAACCGCGGGCGTCGGTGCTCGGGGATGCCATGGCCATGGCGATGGGCCGATCCTCGGATGCGTATGTCGAGCGCGCGCGGTGTGGAGCTGTGAGGGCGCAGTGGGGAACCCGGCGCAGGCGGGTGCATTTCTCAGGTTGCACGTACATGTTTGGCTCAATCTCTTAAGTGTTTTTTGTTCCATTTTGGTTTTAAAGGGCGGCTTGACTGCTATTGGGCAACGGGTCTTTAGACTTTAACTTTTGGTTGAAAGCAAGTCAGCAAGTTGTGTTTTCCACTAAACCCCCAAAAAGTTATTCACTTTGTGCAGGGGGGTCAACAGCAACCAAGATTTCAGGTGCCACTTCAGGAGCCCGGTGATGTGTTTTGGGAGTTTACAGTATCCCATGTCCGGAACCATGTATGCCAATGCACAGAAGAAGGAACACACTGGATGCATCTTGGGTGCAGACATAGCATTCACACACCATGTACCTCGGACTCATATGAAACACCTTGAACCCCCCTGTCAGGCCTCAAAGAATGAGTGGGCTCTTGGGGCTTAGTGCTTTGGATTTGTTTGGTTTCGAGTTGGAGGGTAACGGGGGGACCAGCCAACCACCAAACCACCGGGTCACCGGCCAAGAGGGAACAGTCCATTTGCATTTGCAGGGGGTTCGGAACCGGGTTGATGTTTAAAGAGGCGCAGTGTCCACATGTCCCGCTTTCGGCTTGGCTGTTCGGGGAACCGTTCCTTCATGTTCCTTCATTCCCGAAGCTCTTTTTGAGATTTCCTGCAAAGTCATAGATTGAGGCTGGCAGGCCTCGAGCCTGCGGTCACGCAGCCATTGCGCCACAAATTCCAGGCTGGTCAGGCCTCTCAAATTCTCCCCCCGCAATGATGTTAACATCATAGCCAAAACGAAAGGCAGCCGATTATGAGGGTAATCCTTTGGGATCTTGACTAAACATAACCAACATGGTCCAACCCAAAGAAGGCGCCACGGGGGGCCTAAGGAACTCGATTTCCATTTTGCGCTGCAAAGTGCTCCCGTTTTTGTGTTTTTTTCCTCAGGGGATATGCCTTGCCGCGATGCGAAGGAGAGCTGAGAAGTCGCTGTCGCAAGGGTAGCAATAGAACCCTGGTTGATTTTGATTGGGGCCTGGCACTTGTTGGGGTTCAGAGCACTTTGGGAAGGACTACTTCTTGGGCTTATCAATCCACGGTCAACACAAACCAGTTGCTCTAGAGCGAGTTTTTCCTTGGTATGGAAGACTTGAACAAGAGCTTCTGAGAGACTTCTCGTCATACTTTGTGTTGTTTTTGGTCGAGTATGCATGGTTGAAAGTCCTGCTTCAAAAAAAAGTGGATTGGAGCCCGGTGATTTGGTGGTGAATTCGGGTGGTTCCCCATTTAACGTCTATCTACAAGGACCAGGGGTTCAATTCTAAGTCCAAACCAATCCAAACAACCTGAGGATCACCTGAGTGGACGGAAGATGGGGCAAGATGGCCCGTTTACAAACCAAGTCAGGGTGCCTCCCTAGATTCCAAGACATATCCCAGAAGCTGGCCATTGTCCGGTCCCGTTTCTTAGAAGCTGGAAAAATCGAGGGGGTCTTCGGGTGCATTTTGGACATTGAAAAACGGCCGGGGTTCAACGCCAGCCCTGTGCGGATGGACTGTTTTGCCACATTGCCGGCACGCGTGCTTTACTGTTTGCTTTGAGTTGCCCTTTTGACGTTTCCTGGATTGTGTGGCTTTGCCACCTGCTGTTGGATGCGTCGGGGAGACAGAGGCGCACTGCCAAGCGGTGCCATTTTTTGGTCCGACCTCCCTGAGAGAAACCGGTGCCTGATGAACATGATCAACCACCACCAAAACGGGAAACCCGATGGCAACGTGTTTTTGTGCGAGGTCCAACAAGTTCTCAGCAGTTTCCGCCGGAGAAAAAAGACAACAGACCCCCCAAGCCTAAAGAAGAACTGCGGCTGGGGAATGTTCTGGATTCCAACCGCAGCCTGCGAACTCGGCTTCCCTACCGCCAGGAGTGGCGGTGCTGGTCCGCGTGCACGGGGGCACCAGCCAAGCCATGCTGCGGCGGCACCTGGCCTGGGCGGAGGAGGCTCGCGAGGCGCCTGGGGGCTTGGGGGGGAAGGACACGAACGGGGAAACGAGGAGGAGGGGCGGTGAAACTGCTTCCATTGGTTGAAACAACATGTGTCAAAACAAATGGGATCCCATTTTGGGGCAGGTGCACCACCCATTTTAGAACCTATTTTAGTGGGGATTGGGATGTTCACTGGGGGTACGGGGTTTTGACCCATTGCCAAATTGGTTCTTAGAGGGATGAGGGAATCTGTCACAGGGGGCTTAAGAAATGGAAGAATGGCTCACATGTGTTCTTTGCATGGTCAGGGGTCCCGAAAGAATTAGACGGCTTCAAAAAGGGCAAGGTGTTAAGTAAGTATTGCGAGCCCCATCTAGTTATTCTTGCGGCCCTACTGTGAGTGGCCTTCACCCGACGGTATATAAGCTTTGTGTTTGAAAAAGCATGATGGCCAGGGAGGTGAGTGCTCACGTGGTGAGGTCGCCTTTCGTTCGTTGTTGCTTTGGTTTCGCGAGGGGTCCTCTTTAGGGATCCAGTTCTGAATTTATGTGCACGTAAAATGTTGCAGGCTGGAGGGAGAAAGGGGGAACCCTATGCCTATATTTGTTCTACTGTGATTTCGAGGGTTGGTGATGGGATGCGGTTGGTTTACTTCTACGAATCTCACAGTGCCGCCTTGGGCAAAACCTGTCGCCTTTCTAAGGCACACACATATTAATATCTACCTATATGTCTTTTGTTAGTCACATACTGATTCAGGGAGATAGAAAGAGGAGCCATGGGACAAAGGAGTCTCCACTTGTGGTTTCACAATGAAAGGGGCAATCTCAACGCATCCCTGAAGTGTTCAGATTTCCGGAACGGAGCTGCACCGGTGGAAGATGTTGCTTCCATTGGCGATTCTCCGGTTCGACCCGCATCGCGAGGCTTAGCTTACGTGTTTAGCTTTACGCCTCTTTGGGTTTCCTCCGTTTTCAATCGTAACGAACGACTTGTTGCACAACTGCGCTGGAATTCAAGTTTGCGGCGCTCCAGCCTCCCAATTGATTTTCGTCTGACAGATCACAAAACAGCTAAGGAGGGGTATGTATTTTAGGTTTTCTTTTTTTTGTTTTTTTTTTTTTTTTCCGCTTCTTGGCTTCTTGGCTTCTTGGCTTCTTGGCTTCTTGGCTTCTTGGCTTCTCGGCTTCTCGGCTTCTTGGCTTTTCGGCTTTTCGGCTTTTCGGCTTCTTGGCTTCTTGGCTTCTCGGCTTCTCGGCTTCTGGGCTTCTTGGCTTCTTGGCTTCTTGGCTTCTTGGCTTCTTGGCTTCTTGGCTTCTTGGCTTTTCGGCTTCTTGGCTTCTCGGCTTCTGGGCTTCTAGGCTTTTCGGCTTTTTGCTGGTTTATGCGGCTTTTGGTGGCTTTTTGGCTTTTCGCATCCTCTGCATTCCCAGTTCCTCTTCGGCAGGTGGCGTTTTTCCGACATCATGGGGGGGGCTGACGCCCCCCCCCCCAACCCCCCCGCTACGTTTTAGATTTTCTGCAGAGATTTAATTAGTTGCACCCCTAGTTGAATCATCAATTCTTCGAACATCATGGGGGGGGCTGCCGCCCCCCCCAACCCCCCCGCTACTTGTTAGACTTTTTGCAGAGATTTAATTGCACCCCTGTTCGAATCATCCCTACCCCGCTCTGTTTTCTTAATTGTTTTTTGTTTTTGCTGGGATTGAAATGCCTTCCTGTTTGAAGCATTATTGCTTTGACCCCGTCAACCCGCCAGCTACATTTTTGGATTTTGTTACCCACGATTGGTTGGTGATGCTAGGGATGTTGGTCGGACATGCGGGGGATGTTGAACACGATGCTGGGGATGTTGACGAGCTAGTGTAAAATGCGTCAATTTCGCGAGAAAATGCTGTAAAATACGACATTTTGCTGGCCCGGACGAAAAACTAAAAAAAAAAAAAATAAAGAAAAAAAATAAAACGAAAACAAATCCCAAAATAAATCCGCACCCAACAACTAATGTTTGCAGGGGTCGGATCTGGCGGGATGACCTGCGTCTCCCTAGCCACCAGTCTTGTGAGCAACGCTGGCAGACCATGTTTTGTTGCATGTTTGTTTGGGACCAAAGCTCAGAAGGCAAAAGACAAGTCAATCAGTTTTGCCGATGTTGTTATTTTCATCACACCGCCTTGCTGGGTGATATCAACAACCCGGCGATGGGCATTTCTTTGTGGACTTGGCTAAGCAGGATTGGACTGGACTCCCATGTTGAATGGTTTTCAGCCAACGCCAGAAGGAAGTTTTGCAAGACCTCTGGCGGGTTGTGTTTCCGTTCAATATGTAGGAACACCCCTGGGTTGAACCCCGTATCCCTGAAAACCGGGGGAACCCCCGCATATTCCTGAAAAGCATCTCAGCTCGCGCCGTGGCTTCGCGGTTTCGAGGCCGAGCGGCGGCTTCAAGCGCCGGTGAGCGTTTGGCTCTTGGCGGACGAGACCTTCGCAGGCCCACACGTCCGAAGCGTGGGTTCCCACCCCGGGTTAATCCCCTGCGTCACTTTGGAGCGGGCTACTAGTCCCCTGTATGTACATGACACTATTGGGGGGAAGGGGAGCCTCCGGTTTTTGGGGTCTTCCCTTGCTTTTGGGATCCCAAAGCTCCGACTTCGGAATTGCCTACTGGCCGGCTTGTTGTGGGCTGGGCTGCCCACATGGGTTGTCTACCAGGCATACATCCATGTTACACTATGTTACACTTGAAGCATCTCTGATCATCCTGTGCCGGGTTGAACACCCAAGATGGTGCCGAAGTTGCCTCACTTGCTACTTGGAAGGGCTCGGCGTGGGAGAAGACCAAGTTGCTCAAGGAACGAGGCACCCCAAGTATTTCATTCACACCTTTGCCATAGAGGCAGGGTTTTGGGTGCTGTTTTCGCTCACGAAGCTTGGCTTCAGGCTGTTGTGTGGGCTGGGCTGGGGATGCACGCTTGCGGAGACGGAGCCCACCGAGCGAGCGCGGGGGTCCGATTTCAGCGGATCCTCTTCAGTTTTGGGGCGAAAGTGCATCTAATTTGGGGAGAGGCAGCCCTACCCAGAAAGGTTCTTAGAAGCCTGGAAGAGGAAAACATTCCCGGGTTTTGGCCCATCAACGTCTCCAGCCGGATTCGGAGTCGCGGGGCTGATTTTTTTTCGGCAGGCCAGAGCATCCAGGACCGACTCCGCGGCTGCCAGGCTGAGATGGTCAACCCAGACACCCAGTAATTAATTATCCTTCATACTGGGGATGGTTGCGAAATCCGCTTCTCGCAGAAAAATAAACCATCGTTGAAGCCATCTCATGGTATTTACAGAGGAATCGATTCAGACACCAGCGTTTCTTCGGCGGCGCGAAATGGATTTCGCAACCATCCACAGTATCTCACTTCCTGAGTTGCTGGACTTCAACTAGCCAGCCACTTTGTGTCTATTGGGTTGGATCTTTGGACTTTATTGCTTTTTGGGAAGCAGTGTGGATTTTCCATATTGGACCCACAAGGTAAACCTTTCTACAGAGGGGTCAGCAACCAAGATGTGTGGCACTCCAAAAGTTTGGGTTACTTTGTTGGCCCATCCACTTGGTGGGAGGTGAAGATCAAGTCCACCAGACAAAGGGGCGGATTTCTTTTGTGTGCCGCATGGAATCCTTTCCGTCAGGCTTGCAGGGCAATATGTATCTTCACTGTTCTTGGCATGTTTTTTTTTTTTGGTTTTTTGGTTCTGTTCATTTTTACTGGGGGTCTGCAAAAAAAGAAAGTTTGTTGCTACCATACCAAGAGTAGAGATGGTATACCACTCATCTGAGTTCCACTGGACAGTCTACCTGGGTTTGGACTATGTCAGTGGTAAACCAACAGTTTGGTGACTTTTCCTGGCCAACCCACTCCTAGGCCCCCCCCAGCTAGGTGCCCTTTTACTTGTTTTTTGTTCTCTCTTTTTTCTGGGAGGGTTCCCCTACTAAAATCGACTACAGGAAAAAGTTGGCGCCCTTATTCTAACCTCTCTACTGGAGGACCTGGCACTCAGAAAGTGAGACCTCCAAAGGGGGGGGGCAATATAAGGGACACGTGGACAATGGCGGATCGTGACACATTGGATGCATAAGATCCAGCTGGCATGTTATTCTTCATAAGCTAGCAAAATGGCGCGAAGTGGATGATGGTAACAAGGGACATATTCAATTGAACCCCTCTAAAATGATGGTTTGTGTTTTGATCGTTTTTTTCCAGCTCAGCAGGGTCTCGGCAAAAAAAGGGGAAAACACAACTAAAAAATGGCTACGCCCAACACGAGACGCCTTTTCGCTTTTTCGCCGAGGGCCCACTGGAGTGCAAAATAATGGGAATTCAAGTCTCTCGCTCCTCTCCGCCGAACAACAAACAACGTGCAGGTGATAGATTTCTTTTTCATTTGTTTAAGAATATCTGTTGTACTGTTATCTTCCCTTAAAGGGTACCGACTTCAACACTGGACATATGTTTGTTCAGACCTACGCAAAGGGAAGCGTGAACCCTCCCGGAAAGCTGCAAAAGCCACGGAGCTGGGCAGCTGTCAGTTCCCTCCGTTGGTCGGATCAAGCTGAAGCTCCAGTTGCTCCATGCAAATCTGCCGGGGGGGGGGTCTGGACCGAAAAAGCACCGATTTTGCAGAACACCTTCCTTGCAGTGCTGCTTGGGGTTTCTGGCTGCATGGGCTCCAAGTGAGCCATCAGCACCCATGGCTATGTTAGCAGGCTCTCACTTCTTGGCTTCACAGAAGCTACTGCAAGTCTTACCCTACCTCCCGCTGACGTGGTCCCTGTGGGGCAGCTGGAAGATCAGTTCCCTCTAGAAGGCACCGGGTCCCTGTGCCATGGCACAACCGTCCTAGAACCCCAGGTCGCTGGGTTTTGGGTGAGTCCATGTTACTTCAGATCGCACAGAGGCATCGCCGGAGAGGTTGGCGCGGGCCTCGCTGGCGGCGCGCCGCAGGCCGCAAGCGTCAAGAGCGGCACCATACTGGCACCCCTAAAAAGGGCAACTGCCTAGCTTCCATTTGCTGAAATGAATATGTTTTTTGTTTCCCCTGTTTGTTTATTGTTTTGTTTCTTGGGGAAAAACATGTTGTACAACTGGACATAGTTTCTGTTTTTTTTTTTTTTTTTTTTTTTTTTTTTTTTTTTTTGGGGGGGGGGGGGGCGAAGAATAAGATGGAAGTTAGGAAAGAATGTGGAAAAGAGACCTATATAGTACACACCCACACACATGTACTTGACAAACCTAGCTTCCCCGAACAACAATTTCTACCCTGAAGAAAGGACGAGAGAGAGAGAGAGCAGACTCGCTTTGGCTTCCTTTGGTCTACCTTTACCGATTTGTGTCCTTTGGCAAGCTGGTGTCAAGTTCAATTGAGGAAGCATGCCATTATCCCAAAGCACTCCTTGAGGAAATAGTTTCCTGAGGGTACAGAACTCTCTGACCCTAAACCACGACCACGATTCGATATTCAAGGGGAATGGAGTCTGAACTTGTTGAAAAGAGAAGCCAACAAGGTCCTTTCCAAATATGACCGGGTGCAAAATGGAGTCGTGGAACAGAATCCTAGGAAAGAGGGTTCCCTTTTGCATCCATCCTCTTTTGGTTTGCTCGGGAAGAATCATTTGTATGTGCCATTCAGCACCCGTGTGAAATGACATCACGTGCCTGGGAACCCACATGCTCCAACAAGTTTGTACCCCCACCTTCCCACCATCCAACCCCCCTCCCAAAACAACAATCATTTCCACAAGGCCTTCAATGACCAAACCGGCTTGGCTCATCGGTATTTGCCATGCAGCACTGGTTCCTGGAAAGTGGCAAGACGAGGTCTTCTCCTACAGGGAGGCGGAGATGGTACAGCGCTTCCCGGCGCTCGAGGCCATCCGAGCCGCGCTGCCGGACCGCCCAGAGGTGCGCATGGGCTAGCTGCGCGGTGCTGGGGTGGCGACCCTCACTTTCAGTTCCTGGACTTTGGTCACTTGTTGGACCATTCGGGTGGTAAACAACAGGTTTGGATTCTTTTTTGGCCCATCCACTCAGGAGGTGAGTTCCTGGGAGCGAGGGCCAAGCAGATGGGTGTCTGGCTTTTTGTCGGGGTGCTCTCTTTGGAAATGGTAGCAACAATGGAAACCAGTCAACGTCATCCCGACCCTCTTCCTCCCGAAAAAAGTTAAGAAGTATGGTTTGTAAGGGAACCAAATGAAAATGACGACCACGTTTTTCTTTTTTGTTTGAGGGCGTGGGCGGGGGTAGCCCTTTGACTCACTTCCTGAGCAAAAGTTGTGCTTTTGCCAATCTAGCCGGTGGTTGCAAGCTAGCCAAGGAGCAGGGGTATCCAAATTTGCTTTGAGAGAGGGAGCCTTTCAGCTACCGATCGGAGTTCTGGTTCGGGACATGGTGGCACTCAGGAAGTGAGTTGAGACAAGTGCTACCATGGGAGTGCTACCAATGGGTGGGGCAAGCTTCCTGAGTAGCCGCTCAGGAAGCGATTTCTCATCCGTGCAGGTGCGCGACTGCTTCCGGCTGCCGGGTTTGAAGAGCTTGGCCTGGTGTTTCCACGTGGAGTCCCTGCTCCTCTGGTGGGCTCGCGAAGGCGGGGGAGTGGCTCCGCCCGGCCCAACTCGGTGGCCTCGTGGAGGTCAGGATGGGCGAGGGGAAGTGGGGAGAATGGCTTGAGAAGCTGGCCCGAAATGGGCGCCGAAATTCGGGGACTGACTTGGGGGGTTCAAGTGGAATTTGAGATTCATAGCTTTGGAATTGGCCCTGAGCTCAACTGGGAGACCATTTTCGCGGCCAACGGACCGTTTAGTTGCTCTGTTTGGCCATCAAAGTGAGACAAGTGGATTGCGCTTCACATCCTAAATGTAAAGTGAGCTGTGCCATTTACTTTCACCCTGGTGAAATGGAATGGGAGAGGCTTGGGCCAAGGTTTTTTTCCAATTTGGCTTGGGAGAGCTGGAATCCGCCTGTTTCGAGCGGAATGCGATCCATGCGAGTCTCATTAGGAACCCTTGGTTTTGGCTTCCCTTGGCTTCGTCAACTTGCCTACAGGGCTAGGTCCGCATGAGATTTTTCACCAGTGACCCAGGGAAAAGAAAGCGGGAAGTCTGAATCTTGTCGCAAGGCGCTCCGAAGCCAAAGTACCTGTGGGTCCTGGAAGATGACGTCGGCTACTCCGGGCACCTAGGGCACTTCCTCAGCGCCTACCAGCTGCTCGAAATCGACCCCCTTTCGTGGAGCTGAAGCGTTGGAGCCGGTTTGGTTTTGGGCTTGTTTGGTTCTGTTGCCTTTTTAGTGGGGGGGTACAAAAACACTTTACCAAGGAAGTGGCCTCTAACCGTGGCTTGGATAGGTGGTTAGGAGGTGAAGAGGTGTTTTTCTATTTACCCTCCACAAGGGCGAGGTTTTCACATCCCCAAACCACCAATGAGGGGGTACCTGATTTCATGCCTGTCGGTATCTTGATAACATCGCAGCGATCGCAGCGGCTTGCTGTTGCACTACGCAAGTACTTGTGTTGGTTGGTTTGAACCTGTGCACCATCTCGCTAACAAGCGAGTTATTGTTTTGAACTGGGGGATAGCCACAGAGTTGGCGGTCTCGGATGCTTTGGTACTACTACCCCGCAATCCCATCAAACCCTCCACGCATGCTTGATATGTTTGGACGAGGGCCCGGGCTTCCCGGCTGCGGGTCCAGCGAGGTCTGGCAACCTCAACTGTCAGATGCCATCTGAGTTTATGAAAAGCACCAAGAATTTCAAGATCGAACTCCGTCCAAGATGGTTCTCACTTGGACGCAATAAAGGCGCCAAGAGAATATAGTATCAACATGTACCAGCTGGTGGTGTCTTAGACAGCTCAGTTGCCCAAAGCCGACCGCTCGGTCCACTCTTAGTCATGGCCACAAAGGTCAACCTTTTATTTTTGTGTCCTTTGGGCAAGTGAGAGTTGCAAAGTTTGAAACTCACATTTGTGTGTGTGTGTGTTTGTATGTAGCCATTTCTGGCTTGATTACATGGGAAAACAACAGAACCAACCACCACTGTCAACCCTCAAACTGGGAAAAGCTGACATATCCGGGGATAAGTTCCATTGAACATTCGACGGGGGATCCCCAAAAACGGTTTGCTCCCCCCACCCCCCGTCGAAAAGAAAAGAAAAGGCACGAGCCTGCGGACTTGGTGTCCCATGCCCTGCAGCCGGCAGAGCCCACTTGGGTGCCGCGGCACGGAACTGGGGGGAAGCCTCCCCCCTTTCTTGGATTCTTGGTGGTTTGGATCGGCTGGCTTGTGGATTAAAGTTCTGGCCTCCAACATGTTTTATTTTTTTTAATCTTAAAGGGAAAAACAAAAAAACACCATTTTTGGGGGGCAGGGTTGGGCCAAGTTCCGTTTTTTCGAGCCCCGCCCCCCTTGGGGAAGGACCTGCGATCCAGGTTCAGTGGAATCCGGGGCCTCTCTGAATTGGTCGCTGGGCAAGTGGGGGAAGATGGCCCAGGGATGCAAGGGCATTAGTTCTTGCTTGTTTGGCGGCTTCTTTGGCGGCTTGAAACAAACCACGGACCTGTTGGATCACAGACGTTTTTAAAATTTTTGCAGAGCTCTAGGATGGATTCCCCTTTAAGCATCAATCAGCCAAAAACGAGTGAACGGGGGGCAGTGTCCTTCATTTTGACGCCAAATTGGTGCAAGCAAGACCAGGGCTTGCCCTTTGCCCTCCTATGTTTGAAGCCTATCAGTGTCCGAGTGGCATCCTCAACATGATCGTCGTGGTTTCAAACAACTGTCCAAACTCTAGGAAACGGTTTGGATGCGGTTTTTGTGGATCCACCCTGGTACAAGTAGGAAAGCAAAAGAGTACTAAAAGAGTATTAAAAGAGGAACAACTAGGCAAACAACATGGGGAAACTACAGAAACCGCATCCAATCCTTTTTCTGGACAAAGAGTTCCGTTTTCAGCACCCCCTCAGAATGCATAAAATGGCCTTACGGGCCAGGTCCAGCGGACGCACCGCCCGACTGGGAGGGAACGTGACCCATTTTGACACTGGTGAATTTCCAACAGCCACTTTGGATGCACCAAACACTTGCGCCACCCACCGTTCAATAACTCCCTGGATGACGATTCCCCTGCAAATACCAACTAACAACTGCTTCCCGTGGCTTCCAAGCGGTGCAGGATTTTGTCCATCCACAGTATCACCCCCTTTACTTCCATTCACATCTCAGAATCTGTCTTCATTTCTCGTGGCAAAAGGCAATCGATCACTGCAAATACGGTGCATGGTTGCGAAATCCTCTCAGGCACACCTAAGAATTCCCTGAATGATTCGATTCCCCTGTAAATACCGCCAAACACTGGTTTCAACCATGGCTTCCAAGTGGTGCGAAATGGATGTCGCAACCATCCGCAATATATCCTCATTTTTCCAGGGACGAATTGCAGCACATGGAGGATTCATGTACGCACCGTTTGCTTAGAAAAAGCAACTGGCGGAGACACCCGCAACCATTGAGCGTGGGAGGTCCACTTTGTGCTCTCTGCGGCCCATGGACCTAGAGCCGGCAACAGGTAGCCCAGGGATGGTTTGCGTTGGGGGTTGGGGGAATTGAACCCCCTGGCTTTTGTAGAGGGTAAACGTGCAAGCATCCCTGACCTGACCACCAGATGGGAAGCCGACAACAAAGCCCATACCCTTTCAACCACAAGCATGGGGCGAAGGGAAGGTTTTCGTGAGCTGATTGGTATGGACCTCCAGGTCTGGTACACGGCCGCCTCGAAGGCGTTTGATGACCTCGTCCAGCGGCCCAGGCGAGGTTTCTGAACTTCCGGCGGTGCGGCATTTGCAACCCCCCCCATTGAATCATTCCTTACCTCTTAAAGACACAACTGTTCAACTGTTTGGGGGTAACATGGGCTATATGTCTGTAAAAGGTTAGCTTCCCCAATCCTTGGAGTTTTAAGGGGTAAGATTCAATCAACGACCACTGCCCATTCGAGGGTACGAGGGTCTGAGGGTCTGAGGGTTAGAACATGCGAACAATACAACCCCCGCGCCCCAGTCGAACCATTCGAAGAACAATCCCCTCCCCCCCCCCCCTTCCAATCGGGGTGGTCTCCTTCATGCCGTGATGGCCTTTGGAAGCACAGATCCGGCCTCATGTTTCAGGAGGGGCGCTAGGGACTCGAAACCCCCTGGAAGGTTTTCAGAACCCTTCAGTGCCTCAGCCTGCGCCTGTTCCAATGGAAGTAGTCGCTGCCCCTCTATTGGATGTTCCGACCTCTTCGGAAGAACGTCGCACCCCCCCCCACCCTTTTTCCCGGCTGCTGGTAGAAAAGCCGTCGTTTGGTATGGAACTTCCTTTGATAGACTCATGTTGCTAACTAGGTCCCCCAGCAGTGCCCTTCTCTCCCCTTTTTCGGGGGAGATTCGGTTCCCCTACGAAAATAGACGGAACAGACAAACATCGGGCACCAACTTATTCTGGCCTCTGAACTTTCGTCCACCAAAGGATCATCGCCTTAGTCGCCACACCTAGCTAACATCCCCCCTGCCATTGCCACCTGCCCGCCCCAAAGAGAGGTTGGTCTTCGAGTGGCCTCCCATAGGCTCTGACCGGCCCGAGCCCCACACCCATTTGACCGACCGTAGGACCCGATAGAAGCGTACCTGGTTCCCAGTATGAGTGCTTTCGTTTTTGTTTTTTTTTGTATTTTTTTTGTTCGGGGACCCCACCACAAGCTCGCCCCCGCCAAAAAAAAAGAGAAAGACAACAATAATAAACAAACAAATCCTTGTGGTGTTCCTGTTGGTTTCCCCTTAAATTTCCTGTTGGTTTCCCCTTAAAACCAACCAACAGGGGGTTCCCTTGACAAACCCCCGGGGTTCAGTTACCACCATTAAAACAAACAGGGTGCATACGGACCACCAATGACCACATGTTTTTAACCTACGGTGACGACTTTTAAATATGTGGGGGCCGGGCCTGGGCTTCAGGGCTGGCAGGTAGTGAAAGACATCTGTTTAAATCGGATATTCAAAGTGGCTGGCCGGGCCACCCGCACGGGCCCTGGAGGTAGTATGAAATACAAATTAGGACATTTAATTGGGAACACCGAGACAGACCCCTTCCCCGTAAAAACAGGGCGTAACACAATTCAAGCCCTTGCTAGCAGCTGCGTTGCGCTAGCTCCTGCCAAGCCAGGTCAGATTGCACAGGTCCAACCTAAGGCGCCATGTCGGCGCAGACCTATGGATTCGTAACTCCATGCTACATAAACGCCTGGAATCGCGGAGCTCAGTGCGCTGAATTGAGCTGCCCAAGCCCTGTCTACGTTGCTCGTGGAGAAAGAAAGCAAGAAGAACACGAATGCCCCTTGTCTCGGACGGGACTCCCAGATTTCCTTGAATTCTTGAAACTCCTGGCGTCTTGGGATCGAAGCTGCTTTGAAACAAAACTCAGAATGAAACGAATTGGAAGAGAAGAAAGAGAAGCAAGAGAGAGAGAGAGAGAGAGAGAGAGAGAGAGAAAGATCTCTCTCTCTCTCTCTCTCCCTCTCTCTTACTTCTCTTTCTTTTCGTCCAATTCTTGTCATTCTGAGATTTGTTAAAAAAAAACAGCCGGACGCCAGGAGTTTCAAGAAATCAAGGAAATCTGGGAGTCCCGTCCGAGACAAGGCGCATTCGTGTCCTTCTTGCTCTGTCTCCACGAGCCACGTAGATAGGGCTTAGGCAGCTCAATTCAGCGCACTTAGCTCCGCAATTCCAGGCGTTGATGTAGCATTGAATTACGAAAGCATTGGTCTGCAATTGCAGGCATCGGTGTTGTTCATGTCCCAATTGGTGTCTCATACTACCTCCACGGCCCGCGAGCCGCTGCACCGCTATACGGGTGCTGGGGATTCGGGGCAAAGGTCTGAAACAGGTCTGAAACAGGTCTGACACAGGGCCCAATGCCAGATCGAGGCATTCTCTCTCCCTCTCTCTTGCTCTCTCAGAGAGGGGGTGCTTGGATCTGGCATTAGGCCCTGTGTCAGACCTGTTTCAGACCTGTTTCAGACCACTGCAGAAGGACTATCTCAAATTCGCAAACCCTGCCCCGAATCCCCAGCACCCGTACAGCGGTGCAGCGGCTCGCGGGCCGTGGGGGTAGTATGAGACACCAATTGGGAAAGGGTGCAACACCGATGCCTGCAATTGCAGACCAATGCTTTCGTAATTCCATGCTACATAAACGCCTGGAATTGCGGAGCTAAGTGCGCTGAATTGAGCTGCCATGAGCTGCCTAAGTCCTGTCTACGTGGCTCGTGGAGACAGAAAGCAAGAAGGACATGAATGCCCCTTTTCTTGGACGGGGCTCCCAGATTTCCTTGAATTCTTGAAACTCCTGGCGTCTTGGGATCGGAGCTGCTTTGAAACAAAACTCAGAATGAAACGAATTGGAAGAGAAGAAAGAGAAGCAAGAGAGAGAGAGAGAGAGAGAGAGAGAGAGAGAGAGAGAGAGAATGCCTGGATCTGGCATTGGGCCCTGTGTCAGACCTGTTACATAAACGCCTGGAATTGCGGAGCTAAGTGCGCTGAATTGAGCTGCCTAAGCCCTGTCTACGTGGCTCGTGGAGAAAGAAAGCAAGAAGGAGCTTATTCTTAAACCCACAGAATGAAAGGAACTGGAAGAGACGCAAGCGAGAGAGAGGAAGAGAGAGAGAGAGAGAGAGAATGCGTGTGGCATTGGGCCCTGTGTCAGACCTGTTTCAGACTTGTTTCAGACCCCTGCAAAAAGGACAGCCCCATATTCGCAAAACCCTGCCCCGAATCCGTAGCACCCGCGCTGGCTCCTGCCAAGCCACACAGGTGCAACCTAAGGCGCCGGTTCGGCGCAACACGCTTTCGTAATTCCATTCTACATAAATGCCTGGAATAGCGGAGCTAAGTGCGCTGAATTGAGCTGCCTAAGCCTTGTCTACGTGGCTCGTGGAGAAAGAAAGCGAGAAAGACATGAATGAATGTCCCTTGTCTCGGACGGGGCACACACATTGCCTTAAATTCGTGAATCTCCTGGTTTCTTGGGATGGGCCCTGTTTGTCAACAAATCCCAGAACAACCGACTGGTTGCGGAAGATGTAATTGGCAACAAACAGCAAGCAAATTGACAAGGCGGGCCGGGCCAGAGGCAGGCTTTCAAGACGTAACGCAAAATACCTATCTAAATCGGGCATTTAAGTTGGTCGGCCGGGCTGGCGGTAACGGCGGAGGTAGTGTAAAATCTTTGTTGACCTATTTAAGTGTCCGGGTGTTTAAGTGGCGACACCGTAAGGAATTGTCCTCCAAGTTGGTTCCTTGCCATTCTTTTCATGGGGGTTGAACCCTGGGGGAAGAAAAGAATGACGAGCCGTCCGCAGGCTCCGCTGCGCGGAGCACGTGCAGCGCCTTTCCTCGCGTCTCATGGAGGCGCTGCAGAACTTTGCGAGGCGCCGCGGGCTGAACGCGACGCCGGAAAAAAAAGCGGGTGGAGCGGCCAAACGTACGGTGGATGGTTGCGAAATCCTCTTACGCACCACAAAAGGAAACCATGGTTGAACCCATCACGTTTGTTGCTATTTACAGGTGAATCATCAGAAGCCAGGGTTTCTTAGGTGGCTCGTCCACCGCCAGAAACACTGGAATGAGTCGACTCCCCGACGTAAATGCCAACAAACAATGTGGCTTCTGATGGTTTCAAGCGGTGCGGGAGTTTTTGTCCATCCACAGTACTACTTCCATTTGCCGAAAGAGGTGGTTGTCCTTTTGGTTTCCCTTGAAACGAAGCTAAAGCAGGGCGCCCTCCAAAAAACCTCCATTTGAAGTGATTTTGTTTTTGTTCCTCTGTTGGTTTGAAAGGGATTCCATGGTTATTGGAAAATGTGTTTTTTCTCCCAAATCCCGCTTAAACAAAGGAAGAATGAGCAGCGACCTGCAGTGGTTTGTACTGTCTGTGGTTTGTATCGCTTGTAGTGGGTCATTTTAGGAGCTGGTCCAACTGCTTGGCTTCATAAGGGCGTGTTTGTGTTTGTCGTGTTAATAGAAGCTCCGGAAGCTTGTCTGTAGAACCAATGTTAAATTGGGTTTGGGCTGCTTCTGTGGGTTATGTTTGAGGCTTGTTTAACTTATTTCTGTGTTCCCATGGAAGACAAAGGGACACCTCCATTTGGGTGTGTGTTTTTTTGAGGGTACCATTTTCTATAGATTGTTGGAAAACCAACAGATACACCACCAAAATTGGTGGCCCCCCTACAAAAATACACGTTTTGTGTGTGTGTGTGTCCCAAGTTTGCCACACCACTGTTTAGGTTCAAAGCAGGATTGAGCGTCAGGCGCTTCAACGTGGTGAGCAGAATCGGGAATCAACGCCTGGTGAGGGTTGATTTCCAGATTTGTTTTTGTTTAAGACTCAAGTGGTCCAGACGGGCGGTAAAACATGTCATGGGTCCTTAATTCACGAGGGCCCACCTGCACAGGGGCCTCCTTGGAAGGAACATCTTTTCCAGGAACCCTGTGCATGTGTTTCATCCATTGGTGGCTTGGATTTGGATTTGAACCCCTGGTTCTTGTTCAGGGTAAATAGGAAACTACCCCTAACCACCAAACCACCAATCCAAACCGCCAATTAGTCAGGAGTCAGAAGCGTATTTGTTCGCTCTGGGAACCGCATTTCATGCGAGGAGCGGCGTGTCTGGCTGGAGCGAGATGTCGGTACCCACGCTCTGCCAGCTGGCGGGTCTTTCTTACTGTCTCTCGGCTGCCAAGTACCCGCTGAGCAGCGCCCACAGCCGCAGCGGCCATTTTGCAGGTGATTTTACTTGATTGGTTTCAGATTGGCTGTAGCAAGGCCCGTATGAACCTACCCTACGTAGAACCCAAAGTGCATGGGTGTTGGGTGGGCGCTGCTCATTTGCTGTTAATTTGCGGTAGGTTTCCTTGAGCAATTGCAAGTTGCCCTTCAAGATCCTTCAAGGTCAAAAAGGCAAAGAAGCGTTTGGTTCCCGTTTTCGCCGAACAGCTATCCCTCCAAAACGAGGCACCCCTCGAAACCTCCCTTCCCGAGTGCTGTTTCGGGCCATTGGCGCGCCACTTTTTGGGCTCGGACAATTTTCAGCGGCACTCCAATATGTTATTTTCTATTTTTTCAGTGGCACTCCACTCGTTTTTTTTGTTGGTTCTTTTTTCTTCGACGTTTTCGGGCCCATCCGCATGGGAGGCGAGGTGAACCGAAGCAAACCCACTTGTTTCTTCGATGCGAGAGGCCCGCTGAAGCCGGAGCAGGTGGGCCAGATCTTCACCTTCAACGGCAAGGCCGGTGGATTCTGGATCTGCAGGGGGGGGGGGCCTATATTTCCTTCGTTTTTGGTGGTTTGAAACATCACCTGTTTAGCCCATGAAAGGTAAGTGCCCCTTGTTGGGATTTCCCTTTTTGGTGGTTTTGAACAGAAACCCTTACATCATGCACCTGAACATTGCCTTGTCAATAGGTGGTCTCCCCTTATTTTGGTGCTGAAAAAGCCATTGGGCAAAATGGAGCCCTGTTAAACATCACCTTTTTAGCCCATGAAAGGTAGGTGTCCCTTCATAGGGGTTGTTTTTGCATGGGGACATATTTTTGGAGCCCTGTTTTTGGGCAGCGGAGGTGGTCCATGGCGAAATTATGCCATGAACAATCCCTGTGTTTCTTAAACCAAGTTGCCATCTTGCAAGGCAACAACGGCCGTCGGCTGGCCTGGAGGCTTTGCTTTGAGGTTTGTGCCCGGCAGAAGTGGCTGCGGTGCTCTTCTTCATTGTGCAATATCTAGAAATACATGATGAAGCGGATGAAGCAGATCGTACACCCTGGTCACGGGATGAATTGGATCATCTTTCAGAGACAACACCAGTGGACAATTCTGGACTCATGCGGCGCAGCAGGCAATCAGACGGGCTGGATAGTTTTGCCGCCTGCTCCTACACATTGCATGCCAGCTTTGCCGCCAATTTACTTCCCCAGAATTAGCTCCCCCTTTTTTTTGTTGCTTCTTTGGGGTCCCCTTTACTTTCCACTAACCAGGCAGAAAAGATCTATTTTTTGCTGGGGCCCTAATTCCAGCCTAGTTTAAGCTTGCCATTTTTGCATGTCCGCATGGTTTGCAAGCTTTGGTGGGGGCCACGGGCTTGACTTTCTCAGGGTGATTCCTTGCACAGGGCTCCTTAAAAGATACATGTTTGCAACCATTTGAAACATGTGGCTTTTTCAACACCAAAATAAAGGGAAACCACCATTTACAAGCCAATGTTCAGGTGTAATGTAAGGATCCCTGTTGCAGCACTTGGGGATCGCTGCTTGGGCTTAGACCATTTTAGTGGCACGATTGGTTACTTTTTTGGGCCATCCACTTGATCGGAAGTGAGAAAAACTTGGGGACAGAAAACTCCACTTGTTTAGCTACAGAAAGGCTTAAGCCCAGGAGCTTGGGGATCCATGCACAGAGGGCAAATGGGAAACCAGTACCAAAGCACGGGGATCCAGACCACTAATTGCTTACTAGTTCGATAGGCAGCGAATGAGAAGTCTCATGACGGGGAAAAACAAAAAAACATCCCGTGTGGTTTCCATTATTCGGGAATCCCCCAACTTCATTCTCAACACCCGGGCTCGTTGGCATTCCCTACCTGTCGCAGCGAAAAAGAAATTGGTCACGGGAGGCTTCCCATTTGGTTGAAATCCGTTAGGTGCCAGAGGAGGCATGGCCCAGCACCTTGGCAGTGCCGATTTGCCAATGGCTTCTTCCATTTGCTTAAGAAAATACCCCCATTTTTCCTCGGCTTTTGCAGGGATAAACAAACCTGTGGTTGTTTGTGGTTTGGTTTGTATTTGCTCAATCCAAAGGGGCCATGGAGGGGGCTCGGGCAGGGACATACTTTTCCATCCACTGGTTTGGTTCTTCACTGTTGTTGTATCCTGTGTTTAGGTGTGTTTAGTTGTTTGTTTGGTGTTCAGTTCATTTTTAGTGGGCTGCGAAAATATAGCTTCTTGCTACAATGCCGAGAACAGCTTATTTCCGGTTTCCCCATTAGCCCATTGGGGTTGGGCATTGGATTGGATGATTTGGTTTGGATCACTGTAAACAGCCCAAGAAGAGAAGAACGGGGCATGTTGTATTAGAGGGGCGTTTGTGTTGAAACGTTCTTTGGAATTCCCTTGTTACTTGTTTCAGACACCACCTAAGTTTAGGGAACCAACGGGCGGCTGACCCATGAGGTGAAACTCCATTAAAATTGACACGGCACCCTAAAAGTGCCTTGTATTCAAGGGCGGGACCCTGCTAAAGTTCCACGTTTAACATTTGGGAGTGTATTGTCAGCCAGCAGGTTATGGGAGGAAGCATCGGGAAACTGCGACCCAAATGAACTGCAAGACATGCCTGGTTCTCTTTTCGCTCTTGTCATTAAAAACAAACATGCACTGTGTGTTGTGTTGGTTGTGCTGATGTGCTGCATGGCCTGCTTCTTCATTCACATGGATATGTGTGTGTGGGTGCATGAGTGTGCCCGGTACGCTTGCATATGCCGTTGCTCGTGTGTGACTGTGGCCGTGGCTGTGATTGTGATTGTGGTTGTTGTCTCGGCCGTGGTGTGCATTTTAGTTGCGGTTGAGCCCCATTCTTTGTTATTCCCTAGTTTTGGCTGGCGAGCCAGCTAAACATTGTAATTCTCACCTGTTCAGTTGATTCCACCCTCCCTGGGCGGGTTGGTTCTCCACAGATTCGCAACCCCGCTTTCGGGCCATGCTGGGAGTTCCTTGCGACTCGAGGCATTTGCCAGAACGAGAGGACTCGGAACCGCTGGTGGCATGCGCTGAAGTGGTGAAAACAGCCGCGCGAGCTGCTTTTTCAGGAGTTTCTGCTTTTCAGGGTATAGGCTCAACAGGTATGTTGGATCCTCTTCCTGGCTAGCCAGATAGATGGCCATATTCTGCATTGGGTCGCTTTGTTTGAAGCACCTCAGTTGCCCAATTCCGGACTCGGATTGGGTTCTTGAAGCCACTTTTGGGGCAAAACGGCCCGTAGCCTGCAATTTGGATGCCGCTTTGATGGACACAGATAAACGGTCCAGTGTGGCCGTGAACATCACCTGTGCAGAAGTTGAAGTGGTTGTCCTTTGGTGGCGTGGTGATTTCAATCGGGAAATGCAGCAAACCTTTCTGCACATTACGAGGCGTTTGCAGGTGCATACCCCAGAATAGCACAAGGCGAGGCTCTCAAGCACGTGAACTACTGTAACCACGGCCTTGGTACTAAAACAGTCATGAAGATATTGACGCATTTGTTGGCCACACCCCTTACCAAGTGGAATTGCACAGGGTTGCAGAAGTAAGTTGAAATACCCTCCCACCAATTAAGATTAATGGCCCTTTAAAAGGAACATGGCCTGAACCTGGACTCCAACGACTCTTCAGGTTCCATGCTTGGAGGGTAAGGTTTTGAGTGAGCTGGGGGAACAAACACCTTTTTTTTTTCCGGGCACCCGATGAGAGACATGTTCGGTTTCGAGCCACCCGAAGAGAGAGACAAAAAAGCGGCAGGTGGTCGGAGCTCACATGGCCGGCAGCTCAGTCGCCGAATTCCCTAAACCAGCTGACCGCAAGGGCGGCCGGCAAAAAAGCAGGGGTACCCCCAAAAAAAGACGCACCCAGTTGGGGATCCAGAACCTATTTCGGGTTGTGGACCTATTGTAAACAGAGGTGCATGTTGCTTGGATGTTAAGACTTTTACTTTTTGCCAACTAATGGGTTTTCCATTAAACCACTAAAAGTATATATTTTTTGGCAGGGGAATGCAGGGGAGCAGAAAGCAACCGAGCAAAGATTGCAGAAATTCATACCGCGGATGGTTGCGCGAAATCCGCGAGTCTTCTTCGCAGCACGAAAAGGAATCCATGGTTGAAACCATGTTTCGCAGGGGAATCATGAGAAGCCAGGGATTCTTACGTGCAGGATTCCTGGTTGATCTCAATTTGTGTGGGGTTCCCATTTTGGGACTGCATGGTTTGTTTTTCCAGGATCAACCACGCAAAATCACCCGCTTGACGCAAGGCGGCAAAAGGCTTCATCATTGACGGCTCAAAAAGGGTGTGTGTGTGTGTACTTGTTCTCCTCCATTGGCCTTGCTTTAAACCACCCCCCCCAAAAAAAAAGCATCCGAAAAAAGAGAGCACACACCCATATCAAGCCCTTTTCATCTATTTGCTGAAATGAGTATGTTGGACTTTCCCTTTTTGGATTTAAGAGAATCTATCGCTACTGGCCATATGATTTGTTTTACAAAAACTGTTCTAAGTCAACTCAGCAGGTCAGATAATTCCACATTGGTCATTGATACCCTGCTCCACGGCATGCAGGGAGAAGGGTGCCTCCCAGTTGTTTTGTGTTTCTCGCGGGATCGCTCGATCCCTTTAATCTAAGATAGTTGTCACTATTGAAAAAATAAACCAAAAAGACACATACTGCCACTTCCAGACCATCTCACAAGGGGGGTTGATGGTCCGCCGGGTGCCCTAAATATGGCAAGTAAGGGGACAGATGACCCCTTAAAAAAAAAAAAAAACGTGGTTTGCATTGTTGCGGTTGTTCGTGTGATTGGTTTGGTTGCATGATTTGGGGCTTGCACTGTCCTTGGGGCAGAGGCAGCCGTTTCCCGCTTCCATTTAAATGAATATTTGTTCCCTGGTGGGTTTAAGCGAAGGGAAGCGCATGGGAGGCCTGGGGGCCAAGTTTCGGCTCTTCATGCCGAGCGGGTCGAAAGAGCAACCCGAAAGCGGTGGGGGCCCCCGAATACAAGCAAGCGCATGGCCTCCAATCAGCGCAAGGATGCTTCTGAACCTCCGGTGTTTTTTGTTCTTGTTTTTTTCTTTTTCTGGGGTTGGCTCACCTGACATGCATGTATACCCCCTTTGAACTGAAATTTCTGAAACATGTGGCCTCCCTTTGGCAACCACAACGAAGGCCATAGGGCCTTTTGGCTGGTACCGAAATGCAATCCACAACAAGAGACACCAGGTTGATGTTGTTGGCGAACTCAAAGGGTCGAAACACCCGCGAAAGCCGCAAAACCCGCCAACGGTTGTTTTCGTTCGGTATGACCGAGAGTGAACACAAGCCAACTTGGCGACCTTGCCGGTCTTCACGAAGCACGGATCAAGAAACCTTAGTTCGTGGTTTGGCTTGGTGGTTTGGGGAGCAAGGGGTGAAACAGCCACCGGGCTCCACCACTGACAGAAGCCTTTTCTGGGTGTCCTTTTGTCTTTATGCCCCGGCCAACCCAAAAAAGCACACAAAAGACGGGGGGGTTCCTTCCCACCCATCGCTCGACACCCCCCGCCGGCCCGCGCGAGGTGGGCGCGGAGGCGGGGGAGATGATGCAGGGCATCGGCGTGGCGATGAAGGCGGGGGCCAGCAAGGCCCACTTCGACGCCACGGCGCCTCGGCGGAAATGGGGAAAAACACGTCGGCTGGAGCGCCCTAGGTGCCGGATCTCGGATCGGACGCCCAAAAAACGAAAAGCGACGGTTTTCCAGGAGTGCGAGGAGAGCGGAAGGGTGTGAAGCCCCGAGAGGTGTGGAACTCCCGGCCGTTGGAACCACGTGATTTTGGCTAGGTATTTGGAGCCTCAAGATTCCCTGATCAATGGCGTTGCTGCCCCGGAAGGGGAAAAAAAAAAAAAAACGGGGTGAGTTCCCTTCTCTTTGGGTTTCAGCCTCCGTGTGCGCCATAGCGCCATCCGCTGTTGCCTCATCTCACGCCTCCAGGCCACAGTATCCCGCCATCGGAGCTGATGGAATACTTGGTGGTGTCCAGCCATCCGGTCTCTTTGGCTTTTAGGCCTTAAGGTTTTTAGGCTGTTTCGTGGTTGGGTTGCCATTTAAGCGCAAAGGTTCAAGGTTCAGCAGGGATCTCAGGACAGCCTAGCATAGAAAGCTTCCACCTCTCCTCTTAGAATTATGCAAAACGAAGGCGGATTCTATGGCGAGACACCCTGTGCCATGGTCAAAGCACGCTTCCTTTGCTTGGGGTTGACCAGGGATGTTCATCTACCTGGTAGTAAGGATCTTTAATAACCGACGTCGGGAGCCATGACATGCCATGACCGTAGGCCATAAAGGGAGGAGTGTTGACCATGCTTTGGCTTAAGTTGTTTTGTTTATCTCTCTTGGACATCCAAGGAGCGAAACAGCCAAATGGAAGCTTACCCTCCTAATCAGTCACCAGGATCACCTCCAATGTTGCGAAGGGCTCCATACCACTGAGACCTTCTCAAGCCACTCCCCCGCAGATAGGATACAAGACCACTATTTAACCATTCAATGGCAATTGTTGTCTTTTTCGTGTTTTCTTTGGGGTTGGGGGTGGGTTAGTTGGAGTCAGGACTGTGCAAGGGTCTTTGAAAGACAAATTGGCTGGAAGGCTCTTCATCATCGCGTGAATGCGCTGCCCGAGTTCCATACAACTGAGGTGGGCATTCACCCTACTTCAGCGGAAGAGTGGCAGATGCCTTAGAGCGTGTGGGCGAGAGCTGGGATACGGATACACATGGTCGGTGTCCTTTGGGTCAGTGTACGCATGGTTGTGGGCAGGCTTGTGCTTTGAAGATCGGTTCATGTATCAACGCAACCGAGTTGTCCAAACACTTAAAAGGACACCGCATGTGATGCATGTTGCGTGGTTGTGGACACATGCAAGATCCCAACTCCCATGAGAAGCTTGGGTTGAAGCCTTGCGCGCATGGCCATGCTGAGCCTGCGGGGTGGGACCCGAGGCAAGTCGCAGAGAAATTTGCCTGAAAGATGATGGAACCTGACTCCCTGAAGACCTGGACTTGAGAGTTGAGAGGCAGACCATGTTCGTGGTAAGCGAGAAATGGGACTTTGGCCATCCGACATCACGCAGGACTGATTCTAGGGGCAGCGCATTGTTCATACCCCTTGGCTTCCCTGGTTTCCAACCCATAGTATAGTAGTCGGGGGCCTCGCCTGGCAAATAAATTGCTTCATACATACACCCCCCCCCTACAACTTTTTCCATTTTCCATCTTCTACCCTTATTTGTTTTCATCATTTTTCTACATTCCTTTCTGTCCATCTCATCCGTTTTTTTCTCATCATTTTTCCAAAATTTTCGCCATCCTTTTCTCCTTTCTCCTCGCCTCATTCATTTCATCATATACCTCTCAAAATGTCATTTCCTCAATCTCCTCGCCTCATCCATTTCAAAAAAAATAAATTTTGCAAAATATATTGCAAAAAATATTTGTCATCAAAAAAAATCGAACTGTCTAAAAACGATTTGTCCATTTCTCGGACAAAAAATAGAACAGCAACAACATCACTCCCTCCTTCGTTTCATCAGTTTCATCATATATTTTTTTGGGGCGTGGTCGCATAGCTTGCGAGCTTCGCTAACGCTCGCGTGTCCCTTGTAGGATTTTAGGGTGGTTAATATCAAAATCATCACTCCTAATCAGTAAATGATACAATAGTGTTCATATTATTGTATCAATCACTCTAAGTTTCCCTATGCTTCTCCATTATGTGTTTCTCCCATTGATACGGTAGAAAACTGGCTCTGCATGTCAAGCACCTAATGTTTTTTGCCATCTATGATTTTGATTTCATCAGGTTCTGGCAGTTTCTCCTCAGGGTTCTCGCTTCTTCTCAGGTTTCCTTGATGCCATGCTGTTTTCTCGTGTCTTGCTTTGCTTTTTAGTTGCACTTCAACATCACATAATGGACAGTAATGCGTTCTTGTTTTGTATTCCTTCATGTATTATCTTTGCCTTTCTTGGTATTTTTCAGGATTG